CAGGGGTATCTGAGGCAGGCTTGGAACACAAGAGTCAGGGTGGCTTCTGGGTAATACCAGATGGCTAGGCCTCAGACCGACGAAGCCTCTTGGATGAGGGGCGAAACGTTTCTTTTTAACAAAAAAACGAAGTCCAGATGACATGATTCAACCTTTTTTGTTGTTATATACCTGGATGACTGAGAAAACAAACTTTGTGATTTTGATATATAATTTGTTGAAATAGAATAAAAATTGTGGAACGAGATAGAAGGCCGAAAAATGTACGGAAGAAAAATGGGTCACAATTGTGTGAATGCTTCATAAACATTCACACGATCAGCTGGACAACTAAACTCACCTGATAAAGCACATCAAACCTGAACACTAATATTCTTCATTTAGATCCTTTCTTAGTTTATTTCTTGTCCCCAAAGTGGTTCAGATTCCTTATGACCTTTTTCCAATCTGTTCATGTAATATTACTTTATGACGTAAACTGCTTTTTTGCTGCTCTTTGTGGTCTCTCAGGAAACCGTGCAGCAGTCCAAGAGTTCAGAGGACCTGGAATTTCAGAAGCTGGAGAGGGAAATGAAGCAGGAGGAGAAAGAGAGTGAGAGCCAGGAGCTGCTGCGAGAAATCGCCGAGTGTCAGCGTCTTTCTGTCACACGGAAGGTACAGTCACTCAGTGAGAGGGCGGTTTTTATTTTATTTTTTTATTTTGCATGTTGTGCATGTAAAAAACCCTGTTATGCTGCCATTGCATGCAAGTCGTTACCCAAGAAGGTGTCAAAAAATGTTATTTTGTAGTCAAAACACAGAACCATGAGAAATAATTCTTTTAAATATGCTTTATCAGAAATTTAATGTAATTTCTCCTTTTTACCCATGTTTTTAATCACTACACTGTGTTGTTATTAATGCTTCTGCAGGTTGTGCATGAAAATAAAGCTGCAAAATAATGAACTAAGTTGCCTTCTAAAGCATGAACTAACCAGCAATGGTAAGCGTCCAACACCGAGGAGCTAAAATGCTTCTGACGAGTTTGTTTGCTTGTGTTCGCTCAGCTGCTCTGCGTGAACATGCAACACATTTCTTCCTCCTCATGCCACGTTTCTAAGTAAAGCAGAGGAGCTGTTGATTCTTTGGTGCTCCTGCAGGAAAGGATTGCAATATTGAAGAAACAGTCCTCGCACACAACTTTACTGGCTCAGCAGGAGAGAGAGAACTTCCAGAGAGAGAAGAGCAACCTGCTCATTATGCTTCAAAAGGTAAAGAGTCTCAGGCAAGATAAGAAATTAAAGATCACCCATTCCTTGAAGGATGTCACCCACCGCCTTTCGTGCCAGAGTTTTGAACTAAAATCATTTGTTGATGAGAAGAGATTGAGTTGCAGCAGATTTGGTCAAATATCATGAATGTGCACCATCTGATGTAATGTAGTGAGACATCTTGTGATTTAACTACTTGTTTCAAAGGACTCTACAACTACAGCAAGTATTTGACCAGTGACATGACATTCCTCCACCTCCATCTTCTACCACTTATTCATAGTCAAGTCGCAGAGGCAACAGGTCCAGGAAAGAAACCCAGACATCTTTCTCTCCAGCGACACTTGGCAGCTCCTCCTGAAGAGTTCCCAGACCAGAGAAGAATTACAATACCTCCAGCAAGTTCTGGGTCTGCCCCAGGGCCTCCAGTGGGACATGCCCCGATTACTTCCAAAGGGAGGCATCCTAATCACATGAACCACCTCAACTGACTCTTTTCAATGAGGAGGAGCAACAGCTCTACTCTGAGCTCCCTCCAGATGACGGCGCTCCTAAACCTGTCTCTAAGGCCAAGCCTGGCCTAAGCTCCGCCCCTATGAAGGAAGCCCATTTTGACTGCTTGTATCCGGATCTCGTTCTTTTGGTCTTCATCCAAACCTCATGACCATACGTGAGCGTTGGAACATAGAGCAGTAAATCTAGACCTTTGCTTTTCGACTAAGCTCTTTCTTCACCATGACTGACCGAAGCAACGCCCTCATTACTGATGATGAGGCCCCAACCTTTTGATCCATCTTCTGCTCCATCCTATTATCACTCGTGAACAAGATGCTCAGATACTTGAACTCTTCTACCTAAGGCAACATTTTCCCTCCCAACCCAGAGGGGGCATTCCACCTATTTCTGTAGAAATGGCCATGGCCTCAGACTTAGAGGAACTGACTGTCACTCCAGCCACCCCAGTGCATGCTGAAGGTCATGGCGCTGAGATTAGAGAAGGTGGGCCTGTGATTGGAAGATCGCCAGTTCAAACCCCAGTACCGACAACATCAAAAATATGGGTGGGCTAGGTGAAGCACCCACACCTGCTCCCACCCTCATTCGTCCCACTCTGGGCCCATGAGCAAGCCCTTAACCCCCATCTGCTCCCCTAAACAGGTCTCTCTTGAGAATGAGTTCTCGTGGCTCAATGAGACTACCTGTATAAATTATGGGTAAATGAAAAAAAAAATGCTATCAGAACCACATCATTTGCATAAATCAGATAAGGCCTTGAGGTTTCCAAACCAGACAACCTCCTCTCCACGATTGTGTCTCAAGATCCTGTCCATGAAAACCACAAACAGGATTGGAGACAAGGGACAGCCCAGGTGGAATCCATCTATCACTGAGAACGAGCTCGACTTTGTGCCAAGAATATGGACACAGCTCCTGCTTTGGTTCTACAGAAACCAGATCATCCTTAAAGCAACCAGGCCCATCCTATACTCCCGCAGCACCCCCCACAGAATGCCTTGAGGAACACGGTCAAGCTTTCTTCAGGTCCACAAAACACAAGTAGACAAGGCAAACTCCCATGACCCCCTCAGCAACTCTGCAAAGGGGCAAGATCTGGTCCACTGTTCCTCGAACAGGACGAGAGCCACACAGCTCCTACTGAATCCAAGCTTCAACAATCGATTGGAGCCTCCCTTCCAACCAAATGGCTGTCAAATGTATTCAGTTAGGATTATGTTGATTAGCTGTGGTGGCCATCTTGACCAGAGGTGACTCAGTTGGAGTACTTTCTGTTCATTTCATTAGGATGTATCCATTGTTGGTGAATTATGTTGCTAACGCTACAGACAAGCAAACACACAGGCAAACATGGTATCTCCTCCATCCTTGCTGGCTGGAGACATCTCATTCTTTTGGTCACTCACTACCCAGAGTTCATGGCTATAGGTGAGGGTAGGAACATAGACTGACTGGTAAACAAAGAGCTTTGCCTTATAGCTTAGCTCCCTTTTCGCCACAATGGACCAGCACAGAGTATGCAATACTGCGAATACTGCACCAATCCATCTGTCAAACTCACACTCCATTCTTCTCTCACTCATGAACGGAGATACTTAAACTCCTCCACTTGAGGCAGAACCTCACTCTTGACCCAGAGCAATCCACCCTTTTCCAACTGAGGACCGTGGCCTCAGATTTGGTGGTGCTGATTCTCATCCCAGCCGCTTCAACTCAGGACCCGAAAGTCCCAGGTTCGATCCCCAGTCATTGCACATCTCGTGGTGTCTCTGAGCAGGACACCTCATCCCCAATTGCTCCCCGGCGCTTTCAATAGCTGCCCACTGCACCACCTGGTGGTGGATGGGCTAAATGCAGAGATCCAATTTCACCATTGTATGGAAATATACAATGATGACAATACATACACATTATTATTATTATTATTATTATTATTATTATTATTATTATTGTTATTATTATTATTATTATTATTATTATTATTATTATTATGTGATGTCTGCAGGAAAGAGATAAACTTGTGTCTTTGGAAGGAAAGTACACAGAGTTGTCCGAGGGGCAAAGTTTCACCAACAACCCTGCAGGCGTCAAAGAGGTAGGAGACACTCTGCAGTCTTCCTCTGCATCCTGTTCCAGTTTCTCTGGTTAAGGGTTTTCTGTTCTTTGTGTTTCCTCCGATCGCTGCAGCACCTAAACTCTCTAAAGGAAAGGAGGCGAAGTGGCAAAGAAATCTCGTCCCAGCCAAATGAAACCCTGTCTCATAAGAGAAGCCAGCAGCTCCTCAGTCCTTACGGCAGATCTTTAGGACGCACACTTCCTCCTAAGGTCCGCCTGTTCCCCTTGAAAACATAGATTAGCTCCATCAGGATCAAATTCTGACCATTTTTAAAGAGCTACCGTTTTAGTATTATTTTATCCTGTGTCCTTTTCTTGTTTGTTTTATTGGACAGCACTTTGGCTGGACTTGTTGCTGTTTTTAAGTGCTTTATTGTGTGGTAGTATTTCTCTTATTTGAAGTTTAAAGTGACATTAGTTGTAGCAAAGTTGAAGAGTAACTGTTTCAGAGCAGTTCTGGCCTGCAGATGAGAAAACCTCTGTCCCTTGAGGACAATCCACCAAAACCCAGAAAGTTGTTCTCACAACACCCTTTGAGCTCAGAAAGTACAGCTCTTCCTCAAACAAGAAACCTTTGCTTTTGTGTAAAAGTTTAAAATATCTGTTTTATTTTTTTTCCCCCAAGGCTCACCTTCCTCTGACCCAAAGCTCGAGCTGCGGCAGCGTCATCCCACAAGGCTTCGTCTTCTCGCCTCGGGAAGTAAACACCCGCCGGCTGCCCAAGAGTGAGTCAGAGATGAGCATGCAGCTCGCTGTGTGAATGAGTCAGGAGCAGATGGGCTGTGATGCCGTTAAAAGAAGCTTGTTGTGTAAATGTTTCTAAATCATTCTCATTATTCAGATCCATTTTTCAGCTCGTGACTCCAATTTTTCTGTTATTTCAACAATTCATGTCTCAAAATGTTCAGTTCATTCACCACATTCCTGCATTGACTTTTGGTATTTGTGCAATTTTTACTTTTTTAAATATTTATCTTTGTCTGCCATGCTTTTCTCATTGAAAATTAATGAAATTCCACATCTTTTAAACACTTTGAGCTGTTTATGCTCATTTCAGCTGTTGATCTGGTTCAGCTGTTTTCTGATCAGCTTCTATCTGCTTATTTCAGCATTTTTCCCAACTTATTTCAACTACTTTCTGTGTTTTATGCTCCTTTCAGCTACTTTATGTTAAACTCAGCTTTTTTCCTGCTTTTTCATTTAATTTTTATGTATTTTTCTTTTGTTTCTTATCCAATTTCTGCCTTTTGTGCTTTCAAATAATTTCAACTTTGTATGCTCTGTCCTTTCAGTCTCTTTCTGCTAATTTCAGATTCTTTTTAGCTTTTTCAGTTTATTTTTTGCTAATTTCAATTTGTGTTTTAATCTAGTCAGCCTCTCTTTGTCTATTTCAGCTGATTCTGTCATGTTTGGACCCCTGCCACACATTTATCTTGTTCTGCTCCTCTGATAAGCTTTGGGTTTATGCTCTACTCTGGCCAGTTCCCCTCTGTCATTTCTAGCTGCCTGTCAATCAACCCTGTGCAGCCTGCCTGCCTGATCCTCCCTGATCACATTAATCAGTGCTTATGCTCTACACCTGGTGCCAGCCCTTATAAACTCAACTCTTGCCACAGCAAGGTACCAGGACTTCGAGGGCGACACCATTGGTTGGGCACGGAATTAAAAAATTTTTTTTGACGGATTATCGATATTTGACATTTTTTGGACTTTGGAACAGGCGGAAATTGGCATAAACTGGTATGTGAATGGTTCGGATGGAAAAACAGGTAGGAGACGAGGCAGACATGGATTTTGAGGGGTGGGTAGAGGGAGAGGACGCGGAAGAAATAAAATGGAGGAAGGGACAAATGACAGCCAGAGTAATAAAAGGGAGTTGGAAGGGAGCAGCTCTGATGAAGAAAGGGTAGTAAGAAGAAAAGTAGTAAGGGATGAATTTAAAATAATATTAAAACTAAAAAATGAGGAAGGGAAGGGTAACATAAGCCCCATTTTGATATCAAAAGAAATAAAAAGGAAGATTGGGGATGTAGAAATGGTGAAGGTGTTAAGAGATGGAAATTTATTAGTATCATGTAAAACTGAAGAACAAAAAAATAAGGCTTTGCACGTCGAGAACATCTGTAAAAGAATGGTCATGGAAAGAAAGATAATAGGAGAAAACAAAACGGTTCGCGGAGTTATTTACGGTATCCCAGTGGATGAAGATTTAGATAAAATAAAAAGGAACATTGTTGGTGCACAAGTAAACAACTTGAAGAGACTGTCAAGAACTGTTAATGGGGAAAGAGTAGGAAGTTTATCAATTATGATTGAGTTTGATGAGACAACCTTACCAGCAAACATAAAAATAGGTTATTTGAATTTTCAAGTTAGGCCTTACATCCCACCACCACTCCGCTGCTACAAGTGCCAGAGATATGGACACATTGCAGCAGCGTGCAAAGGTAAACAGAGGTGTCCAAAGTGTGGAGAAGATCACAGAATAGAAGAATGTAAAGAAGAAAAGGAGAAGTGTTGTAACTGTGGAGGACAACATAGAGTTACATACGGGGGGTGTGAAGTGAGGAAAACAGCAAAAGAAATCCAACAGGTGAAAATAAGTAAAAACACCACATATGCAGAGGCAGTCAAAAGTGTCAAAGAACAAAAGACAAGAGCGACAGGACAAACAAGAGAACCAGAAACCACAACAAAGTACAAGTAAACAGGAAACAGAGGAAAACATCACAATGCCAGTTGAAAACTTAATATTATTCATAGCATATGTCATAAACTGCACTGACCAGGCCAAACATAAAACAGAGAAAATTAAAATAATCGTGAGAGGAGCTGAAAAATTTTTGGGGTTCAAAGAGGGATCTTGGGAAAACATTAACAAAAGGTTGGAAGCTGATGGAAGACCAGGAACACCAGGTGACAATATATGATTATATTACAATGGAATGCTAGAAGTTTAATTGCCAATGGACAAGAATTTAAAGGATATATAGATGGACTTGATGAAAAACCAGAAATCATATGTGCAATGAACATAATACCTGTCAGATATTATCCATAATTTAAACGGATTCTTTCATTTTTCTGGACTGAGTTCTATCGCGTTTTGAATGATTAAATGTGGACGAAAACGTGTTTAAATTTCTGACTCACCAACAACAGTGAGCCGTTTAATTAAAAACGATTTAAAACACATCACACATTTACAATAATTGGCAGATTGATTTCAATAACACATTTTAATTAATGAGCTTTACAATGAGAAAATCATACGGCCATGATTTTCACTTGCAGCTAATTACAACAGACATTTCTGAAAATATCTGGATTAATTACTGGCAGATAGAAGAGTTTTAAAGATGGGAAAAATGAAGTTTAAATGGAGAGAGATGGGTGAGGGAATATGTCTATTATAACCAGAAACAACACGCTCCTTTGGACCCAGCTTAACCCACGGTACACTTCGCAGTTGAAAATCGACTCTTTACCTTTGCAGACGATAGTTCGGCCTCGGTGTAGAGTTGCTTTTCAACGCTTTTCAGCGTCTCCGTAAGGATAGCAGAGACCTCAGGAGTCGTGAGATCATCACAGAACAGACTTCTTCACTGTTCAGAGCGTTCGTCGAGCAGCCACAGCGAGACGTCGTGGCATCGACGGACTCTGGTCATTCCATTAGAAACTGCTCGAACTTCTGTTCTTCTGAACTTCTCGTTCGAGGTTCTCCCTGGAACTCTGGTTCTCTCTGGAACGTTGTTCAGCTTGGAACTCTTGTTCTGCTTGGAACTAGGAAGTGTTGACCCTTTTAAAGCGGTCACTTCCGGTTCCTCTGAGAACTTCCTGATTCAAGAAGGGGTCTCTGCAGGCAAATTCGGAAGGCGTATCTGGGCGCTCATATCTGATTGGACTATAGGAAAGTGGGCGTATCTGGGCGGTCATATCTGATTGGACGATAGGAAAATGGGCGTTTCTGGCCGGCCGGATCTGATTGGACGATAGAAAAATGGGCGTGTCTGGACGGCCACATCT